GTCTAATATTTAAGGAATTTTACATTTCACATTGAAGAACATCCATTTTTTTTGGTATAATATTATTTAATTAATCTAGATTTTGAACAATATTCATGTAACATTTTCCAGGTATTTATGGTGACCTAATTAATATGAATTACATTTTTCAGGTAGTATTCCGTAAAAATGGAAAATGATAAAAATTTGAAATACGCATTTAAGCCATTTAAATTCACAGTATTGGAAAATAATGAAGATCAATTCATAATGCCAAACAGAATCAAATACTGTGTAGCGTCTACAGACACCTATTTGATCGCATATGGAGGAGACGGAAGATCTGTAACAATATTTTTTTTAAATTAAATTGTTTTAAATATTATCTATTTAAATTTAATAACTAAGAGTTTACCCAGGATTGGTCTGGCCAATGATTACGCCCCCGGGAAAATATTTTTAATGGGCCCCTAAACCATAATATATAAAAATATAAAACAAATGTTTTCACAATACTAGAACTCTGCTAAAAACTGTAATAATATTACTTAGGTAAAGTGCATGGATTACATGGTTTGTTATAAATTTATTTTTCCATTCTGCTGTGGACCCACATGTAGATAATAGTCATGTCGTGTTGATTTAATATATTCTGTTAAAATACTATGCGAGGTGTATCACATCAATGCTCATATACGCCATATTGATCAAGTTCATTTAGTTTCTACAGTATAAATATCACAATCAGTTATTTTTCTGAGTAAAATCACAACAATATTAATTATTAGATAAAATCTTTTTAACTAATATAAAATAAATTTTACAAAAAGTCTGTCATGTACAACAAACTTTTTATAATAATAATCACATATAAAAATAAACATTATTATATAATAATTAATAGAATACAAATTATTTAGAGTAATGAAACTGATACCCGCAATAAGTTAAAATAATAACCTCTGTAATTTTTGACCAAATGATGTTTATTGATCAATTATTTCAACTTTTTTTTATTAAATTTAATTAAATTGTCTTCTGTACAGGATGATTTTTTATATTGAACCAGCAATTTTCTCAGAGGATTTTAAGTAAATTTGATTTCTGTTGTGGAATCGGTTAAGCTTTATTTTAAAACCATTTTTAATTTTTTACCCCTACTCCATATACCTTAAATAAGTGCATATTTTTGATTTTCAAATAGGAAACCCCTCCCCTTCCCCTTTTGAACACATATTTGAATAGAGAATATTTTTCTAGAAATTTTCATATGAATCACACTAATATCAGATTTACCATTTATGAATTATGGCTCTGGTTCTCTTAAAAGGAATTAATGTTCTTATTATATCATTAGATAATTCTCTGGATTCTCTTTTTTTATAGATATTCTTTTTGACACAAAGTCTTCTGGAAACTCCATTAAGGGTTGGTCCATAAAAACAGTGTTAAATTTTTGATAAAATAATTTACATTTTTTGTAAAGTTTGGTGTAGTGTTCTTTAATTTTTTTTACCATCAATAAGTTCAAGTAAACATTCAGAAGAACATCACGCTATTAAATAATCAAGGCTATATTATAAAGACCTAAATACTGGAGATGTTAAAGAAAACAAATCTAAAATAACAACACTAGTATGTTTCAAATTGAGACCACTTTTCTAAATAACATAAGACGCATAAACTTAATTTTACTATCAAATCTGCTTGAATTATTTCTATAAAGAAAAGAAAAAAAATTGCAAAATTTATTAAATTCCATGTCATGTTCATCTAGACCAATTGGTCTATAATTATAGATACTATAGTGCTATATGTTTACTCTACCAATGAGGCTCGCCAATTTTTTGAATTTTATACAATTTTGCATTGGCTTTATATTGTTCACCTGTAATTTAATAAATGTTAAATATTAACATACAATACAAAAATTATTAACAAAATATATTTTATTAGTTTGTTCTTTCCAAATATTCATTTGTTTATGGGAGTTTGATAAGAATACAGAAATTTCTTCAAATAATCCATACCAATTTTCAGTCAATGAAGAATTTTCTGATGAATCTGATAATACTAAATTCAGTGCATAAGCTATAGAATGAGTGTAAACTAAATAAATGTTGTCTGTAGGTATATTCATTCATATTAGGTGCGCCATTAAAAGAATAACTATTTTGGACATCAATATTCCACATGTTTCAACATTTTTTTATTAAATCATTCGCCATTTGAATCTTTAATAACTACTAGCTTGAAAGTGGTTCAAATACATTTTCTTGGATAATATAATGAACAACAATGTCCAACTAATTCATAACTGTTATATTTTAGGTACTGTCTAGCATCACACTTATTATAGAGCTTCCAAATAATTTCAAAAAATGTCTAGTTATAATAATAAATTAATTAACATTCAATTTTGATATAAAAGTAATAAATAAACCTCTTCCACATTTAAGCTTATTATTATCACTTTTTAAAATGTACTAGTCTACATGTACACGTAGTATTTGTCATAATTGGCTAGTAATAAAATTAATTCTAAAAAAGTGTCATCTTTTCCTTTTTTATACAGTGAATAAGCACCTTCATCTTTACTTCTAAATAGTAAACTTTTTAACTCACATTTTATGAGAAAACTTCTGAGAAAATCAAAAAAAAAAAACCATTTTAAAGTATTACTCCTGTAAAATTTCCTTTCAGAAAAGGGTCTACATCTTAAACATCGTAGTGAGCTTTTTGGTCGTAAAAGTGTTCACATAAAAAAAAAAACAAAATAACATAAAATAAACATCTTTGTAAAACCAATTCATCCTTCGCTACACTTAGAATCTAAAATTAATAATCTATACTAAAAGGTATTTCAAAATATAATGGGATGGCCTGTTAATGATTTGGGTGGCCATGCCATCCCAGGTCACCCCTTAGTTACATGCCTGCCCCGAATTAATTTGACCCAGGCCCCAAAAATCCTTATAGGCAGCTCTGTGTGTATATATTTATGGTATGCATTAAGCACGGTAAATTGTCTGTTAATTTAGACTGTTTACTCAGATTTCAGTATATAAGTAATATAATTTACTATAGATATAGGATTTTCTGTTATCGTGTATCGTGACCATTTAAAAAATACAATTACAAAAGGTACTGAAGATATATACAGATTTAATCTATTGACTATTCTGTAATTTTAATGAAATTTGTATTTTCTCAGACGTGGCTTATTGTATTATATCACAGTGGGCCAGTCCGACCCTGCTTATAACAGTGGCTGCAGCCATCCCCATTATCCTAGGACAGCTTTTTTTTATTTGATTTTGACAATATTTGTATTTCTTTTTGACACATCGATAAGAGGTTCCGGTCTCATCATTATAATATAATATGACAGTAACAGTGAGGTGCCTCTAAGTTGTGACAACTGGTACACTGTTTCGATTCCGTCGTGGTTATACTCATAACGAATATATGAAATACGAACTATTTGAAATTATAAATAAATCTATTGTTGTTTTTCTAAGGCCAAAATTATCATCGAGTTATCTTTGTGTTCATAACTTGGTAATTGTGACCAACGCTAAGCTCGAATCCAGAGCAAAGATCTGGGGGATGGGGGCATAATTTTTTACAACATAAAAGCAATTCAAATATAATATAGTATAATTATGTATATTATTTTATCATACGTATCAGTGATTAGAATATAATATCAGGAACTATAGAATTATATGTCTGGGGGAGGGTCTGGGCTCATAGTCCCCCCTGAATCCATTTGTTACCAACGCTTATCTCAAGTTTTTTAAATATTTATATTTTTATTGTTTGATTTTGATCAATAGAACTAAAATGTGTAAACTATAAGCTATAGGGGTAATACCACGATTAAAGATTAAAGATAAAATGTACCTCAAATCGTGGGTAATACTCAATTTGTATTATAATACATCAACAATATTTCAAGATTAAGATTATAATAACATTATTTTCATTTATATACTTTTTTTTATTTCAGGAATTTCATATATTTCTTTTTCTTTCCAAAAATAAATTGAACAATAGTTAATATAATTTCTGCTATTGACGTGGTTCCACTGGACTCCTTTTTAAAGAATAAGAACTAGTACACATGGTGAGCGTTAGAGATTTTCACATGAAGCCACCAGAGCCGCGCCACTATGGTCACACCAACAAAAAAGCATCGCCACTATTCATGCTTCCAGAAACACTTCTGTTGAGAGTTCTTTGACGCGCGTTAACGTGAGTTAAATTTTTGAGTAGCAACACATGGCGATCGTTGAATCAGCGTTAATGTGCAATTTTTAATCAAGCTATGAACCTGCACTGCTATATCTAGTATACTTCAGTCACTATACGAAAACGAACGTAGAAACAAATGTATGTTGTGGATTTTGCATAGAATAAATGCACGTAATCGTAATCAAAAACAAAATTATTGGGTTCATCCGATGTTATTATCTAGACCCAATGCAAGTCAATATATAACTCTTTTTCCAAAATTAAGAACATATTAGCTTTAACTATTTTAGAATGTTAGTTAAATCTTTTGATGATTTGCTAATACTCATTAAGAATGACATAATTGCAGATGAAAACGCTATACGATATTGTATTTCACTAGAAGAAAAATGCGCGTTTACAGCTTTCAAACGTTAGCTCGGCGTTAAACGCCCGTTAACATGTGAACAAATTTTGGAAATCCCGTGTACCTTTTTAACACTCGTTTAACGCTTACCACGTGTACTAACCCAAAATCTTAGGGCCCCTAGCGATTGTCAAGCATCTGGGTGGCCAGACCGACACTGAGTTTGCCTTTATTAATATATATATTTTTCTTTCAATAATTATGTTAAATGTTAACGTTGTTAAATGTTGGTTATTTAGGAAGCTGAGCTTAAAAAGTATTCGTTCGATTCACGTGAATGGAAGAAAATAATGTGCCAAGGTGTTCCAAAGAAATTACAATTATCTTCAATTGCACTGTCTGGTAATATAATCATTATATGTAGCAGTAATGGTCTTGTAAACGGTTTCAGTAATCATTTGGATGTTGTAAGCAATTTTAACGTGTACATAGGTACGATTTTAGAAAACAAAATTCTATTATAATATTACAATATACCTTGATAATATTTAAAAAAAAGTTAATTTCAGAATTTATTTACAATTTCAGCTAATTTAGCTAATGAATTCAAAGAAGGCGGAATGAAATTTGAACGATTAGAACTGTTTAGCAATATTCATCCAATGACATTTTTCAACCAATTTGTTATGATGGAAGATCAATTTATGTTTTCAGTAAGTTGTCGCTTAAAAAATTTAGTTGTTCAACAACTTGACCTGAGTACTCGGAAATTAGAAATATTAAATTCATACGACATTCTGCTGGATTCTGTACAAAATGTATTATTGTATAAAAATACAATATATATATTTGGAAATAATTTACTCGTGAGTATTTATTATTGTTTTTCAGTTAGTATAAAATATCTAATTATGAATAAATGTTTAAATTCCATATCCACAAAACACCTACATTTTATTCAAATTAAAATGTTAATAGCCTCGCCTTTAGTCATGAATTGATATTGAAATGATATAAATAATTAAATTAATTTTTATTTATCAATAATATTTAATATAAAATGATTTTCAGCTGTCGAGCACAAATATTTCATCAAAAATTTCATAACTATCAATATTGTGTAAATTCAGTATTTTGTATTATACATTTTAAATATAATACACGATCTCTTGATAGAATAAGTGTAGTTTACAATTCTTATAATTGTTTAGGCCTTTAGGGCGCCGTTTTTAGTGTTTTTTTTTTTTTATGAAAAAACCACTTTTTGACTCTCTGTACTATGCTAAAATAATAGTGGGATATAGACATAAATCAAAGATTAAAAAACGTAGAGTATAAAAATTATTAAAGATATTCGAAAAAAAAAAACCAATACCTATTTATGAGTATTTTTAATTATTGATTTACAACTTACTACTTCTTTTATTACTTAATATATTTTAGTATTTACAAATAAAGTTGTTTGCAACGTAATTTAACATAAACAAATTTGATATTATGATTTTATTTCGTAGTCCTTGTGTTATTAAGTACCAGGTTTATGCAAAAATAGAGCTGATTAGTATTATATAAGACAACTACCTACTACTTTGTCTCTTCAATAAATATTTTCTTTCTGTATAATAAATAACCCTACACTGTTACTTACTAGTTGAAGATTAAAATCAATTTTCCTTGATTTTCAAATAAAAATATTTTTTATTGTGTATAAATATAAAAACCATTTAATTATTATGCCAATAAAGTATCATTCAAGTATTACCTATTTTAAAACATGTGGATATTTATATAATGATTATTAATCATATGTCTACAGAATTTCCATACATTCAATTTGGCCACCAAAAATTGGAAAATTCTTACAGCTATGAAGGCCAGGGAGCCAAATTATCCAATTAAACGAGTAGACTATAGCTGCGTTCAGTGTACAAAAAACCTAAATTTGGTGTATACATGTGGTGGTCACAATGACATTAATGCCTTCAAAGATGTTTGGCGTATAGATTTGAACATCTTACAATGGCAAAAATTCGTAGAGTTTACTTTACCTAGCCCTATATACTGGCATTCGACTACAATAACGCCCTCTGGCCGGTTATGCTGTTATGGTGGTCTTGTTACAAGTAAAACAGGGTTTACAAATAACGTAACTAGTGCATGGACCACAATACCCACATTAAAAATCATCTGTTGGGAAGCCATGATTTATTATTTTAAAGAACAGATGTTTAATTCTACCACTGAAAATCTAAAGAAAATCGGTGTGCCCCCTGAGTTTTACAATAGAATAATAGAAGCTAGAGAAACCAAAACTTCACTTGAATAATGAATTCATTAAAATTAAAAAGAAATAACATTGTTGCTGCTTGATAAAATAAAATAGAATAAAATAAAATCATGACTTCTAATTTTAATAGTATACAAATATATTAATTTATACTAAACACTATTGTAATATTGTAGTATGAGCCAAATAGGAAATTACATTATATAAGAGTGTATTTTTCAATTGATATTAAATCGCTTAAATATTAAATTTATATTTACGTTCGAGTATGCGGTGAAAATATAATAGCAAAACTTTGTCTTGATTTAATTAAGAAATAGTGTGATAATAGTAACCTTCAGTTAAATATAAGTATATCTGAATTTGTTGTTTTTAATATTTCTAACAATAATAGTATTTATAATTTTAGTATCTACTAAACTTTTCTACTTGTACACACTCTTATAGTTGTAAATATTTAAATGTACTTTGCAAATGTATTCATTTAGATTGAGTATATAATGTGATATACCTAGGTATAATTATGATAATAGACTTAAATTTGTAGAACATTTCTATTCATTAAATAATGTAGTTAGACAATTATTTTCTAAATTTAAAATACCACCTAATATATTAGATTTAATAACTTTAAGAGTTGTACAGATTAGTACAATCTGTCTACTTATATGGTTCATTGGTATGGGGTGGTACTTATTCTAACCATATTAATGTCTTAAATATTACTACTAATTCTTTAATTAAAATTAACCTAGATTATATTCAACTATTTTATTGTATTCTGATATTAATATTCAAACTTTTAATTATCAATATGGACATCTATCTTTATTATATATATTTAAAATTAAATATATTATTAGTGATTATTAACCATCTCACGCTTATAATATAAGATTAAAAATCAAGAACAACCACAATGTACATTTTAATAAAACAATATATGGGAATTATAACCCTATAATTACAGAGATTTTATTATCAGGTAAATTTAACATAAATGTTTTCTCTATTACTAATCTTAAGCATTATAAAAATCATGTAGTTTGTATACAAAACTTTTTGAATCTGTATTTAATTCCAGATTTATGTTGTTTATTTGATTTTATTAACTTTATTTAATTTATGAATTCAACTTATCTGACAAAAGCTTAACTTATAGAATGAGTTTGCAACTTTATGTTACTTTGTTACTGTTTTACTTTATTCTGTAATTTCAGTTGCTTTAATATATTATTATTATTATATTAAATATTATTAAAATATCAGTTTTTGTTTCATTAAAAAAAATAAAATATCATTCTTTTACATAACACACCATAGAATAAAAGGCAGAGTTTTTAATGTTTTAAACCATTTTTTATTAATATATACTATATAATTATAGAGAAATTGTAAATATATTAGGTAAATATTTACTAAATTCTTACCAATTCTGGATTATCATTTTTTTTAATTCTAGTTAATTATTTAATTAGATATTTACTCTTTAGAAATAAACAGTAGTTTATTTATTTATAATATATAAACAAGCTAGCGCCTAACAATGGTATAGCAGAAAAATGTTGTATGAATAAAGTATGTTAGTAATATGTTAGTAAAATATAAGTATAATGTATGAGTGGTGGGTACAAAATAATAAAAACTTAATAAAAAATAAAAATATAAGGGAAATTAAATAGGCTAAATACATAAAATCAAATCAGTTAAACACCTATCAAATGATGGACACGTTCCAATGTGTTCCAATAGGTACACACCAATCGGCAGCTGTCCATGGATCCCTGATAACCGATTCATATTCGAGGACAATTGTTTTCAAATAATTTTAATCATAACAACTGTCCACAAAATTATGTAAAATACATGAAAAAAGACATTCGGTTTATTTCAAGTATTATTATTATTTTTTTTTACATTGAAAGCCCTTTTTTAAAAACGAGTATTAATGAAGATTTAAACTGTTATTTTTATTTTGAATTCATCCGATTTTCTATCCGAGTGTTTTTATCTCTGGTTTAATTAAACAAAATCTATAACCGCATTTTTTTTTTCATTCCAAAGCAGATTAAAAAAAACATTTCAAAAATTGAACATTGAAATCAATGAAAGAAATTTTAAATAGGGTGTACTCTCTGTTTTCCATTTCAATCTTCAGCCACTGTGTATTGTGTATAAAACTACGGAAATTATACGATTTTCTATCAATTATTAGTTATTACTGCAGCAGCCAGTTATTATCATTATTTACACATTTTCAAATACAAATAATAAGTTAATAATTCTGTAGAATATTAAATCCATATACTTAGTAGTATGTAGGTATTAATATTAAACAGCAATGTACATACATTTTATTTATATACACACATATAAACATAAACACATAGATAAACAAGAAGAACACAAAAACTATAATCTTAATAATGTA